TGGGAGGAGTATGGAGGGCCATGTAGAAGGACTTTTGTAAAGGTTTGAGGCTATTCTGGTCTACCACCCGGCATCTCAGGAAGGGAATGCAATGCACTACCAGCACTTTTATGGTGGGGACGGTGTGCTGCCAAACTCAACTCTGGACGTTGTGGGTCGTAAGTATTTCAAAGACTTCCTCAATCTGAGGAGGTCAAATCTGGGGACTTTGGGTAGGGCTCTCCAATCTCTGGTGCTGAGTTTACCAAGGTGGTCACAAAAGCTCTTCTGAGGTAGGGCCCCAGGGGTGGATGAGATTTGCACAAAGTTCCTTAAGGCTCTGGATGTTGTAAGCTGTGTTGGCTGACACGGCTCTACAATATTGCTTGAACATCAGGGGCAGTTCAACTGGACAGGCACACCTGGGTGTTATCCCTTAATGTAAAAAGGGGTACTACAGGGTGTGGTCCAACTACAGGGGCATCCACACTCTTAAGCCTCTCTGGTAAGGTTTATTAAGGGGATCTGAAGAGGAGGATATTCAAACCTCGGATTCAGGAGAGACAATGTTCTCGTTCAGGCTGAGGAACACTGAGCCAGCTCTTCACTGTTAGCTGGGTCCTGGAGGGTTCATGAGGGTTTGTCCAACAAGTCTACAGTGTGAGATTAAACACATATTGTAAAGGCTTTTTCATCAACAAGGGGTCTGATAACATATGTGGGCCACTACCTAAATTATGTGCCAAAGAACTGTGCCCAATATTTTATCATATTTTTTTTATAAGTCTTTACAGACAAAGCATATCCTGAAATGTTGGAAGGATGTGGTTGTTTTCATGTGCTCCAAGATTAGAGGTTGTAAAATGTTTGATCAGAAATCCAAAGGTAGTGCAGAATTACCCATAGCACACCAACATTAATCCATTCACTGCCATTGACGAGTAAAGTCATCATTTAAAGAAGAAGAAAGAAGAAAGTATAATTTCTATAGCGCCTCTCAAGATAAAAATCACGAGGCGCTTCACAAAAACAAAAATTGTAAAAATATAAAAAAGCATTTAGAAAATGTTTAAAAATATATTAAAATGAGCAAAAATAGGCAATTGGGATTTAAAAGAAAAAATGTTAAGAAAGAGAGAGTGAATAGGAAAGAGGGAAATCAGTGGATCCTGAGGAAGGTGGAATAGGTGGGGAGAGCAGAATAAAGAGAGAGTGGTGAAGAAGGTCATACAAAAACCAGCTTGAACAAGTGAGTCTTCAGCTGCTTTTTAAAGGAGACCACTGAGTCCACTGATCTCAGGCTCAGGGGGAGAGAGTTCCAGAGTCTGGGGACCACAGCAGCAAATGATCTGTCGCCCCAACCACTAAAAATCCAACCACTTACTGTCATTGACAACTAAAGTCGTCAATTGTGGTTTTTAATGGGGCAGGCTTGGGAACAAGCTTGCGCACCTTGAGATTAAACTAGGGATGCTCCGATCAGGTTTTAATCTGCCGATCACCGATACCGATCAGCCAAGAGGCCGATCATGGCCGATCAACCGATTACCGATACCAATTACATAGACTGGCTGTAAATTGTTCATTTAGCTATGGTGAGTTCTAATGCATGTGTTACATATTAATTCAGAAAAAAACATGGTTTTACTTCACTTCAAATTATGTAATATCAGTAACAATTTATAAGAAATTGAAAACATTAAGGCTCTCTTTGGGCTACAAAAAAAGTCAGTATCTCACATCACCGCCTAAATCAAATTAAATAACCAAGGATACATTCAGATACATCCAGTGAGCTTTAAGCTCAGCATTGACACAGGACTGACATCTGAGCTCCAAATATCACTTGTGAAACTCACAGAGGATGAGACGCTTTCTTTAAGGAGTCCCTCGATGAAAGAATACACTGTCTGGTGGAGCTCTGGAAGGGCTACGTCGGCGAAATATTTACGTCCCGGTAGCATGTAGCGAGGTTCCAAGTGGGCTAGTAGTCGGCGGAATCCGGCGTCTTCCACAACTGAAAAAGGCTGGTGGTCTAGTCCAATAAACTCGATGATTTTACGGGTAATTAGCTTAGCCTTTTGACTGTCACGCTCATATGGGCGAGTGTTTCCAAGCGACGGCTGCGTTAGCTGCCGTCTGACTGTGGCTGCATTAGCATTAGCAGGCTTCTTTTCATTGCCTGCGGTGAGGCTCAAAAACTCACCATGCTCCGCCAAGTCTTTAGTCTTTAAATGTCGGGTCAAATTCATTGTGTTTAATTTTTTTGAAGTGCTTCCTCCGCGGGGTATGTTTTCGTTGCAAGTGTTGCAAGACGCAAACTTAATATCACTCTCGCACACCGTAAAGAAGTTCCACACGGCAGACATGTTTGTCTTTGCGGGATTGCCGCCACGCGCATGCGCACTAAGCGGGGAGAAGCGGAAGGGTGACCTACCGGCCGGGAAGAGTAAGCACCAGTGCCAGATCGGAAATGAAAGGCGGTGATCGGCGATCACAGATCACACACTTTTGCAGGAAAATCGGCTGATAATTATCTGTGGCCGATCAATCGGAGCACCCCTAGATTAAACATCACACCTCTAAACTTGATTTTCACCCATGTGTGTCACATGAGTTAAGTGCTCGCCCCGTAATCGGAAGGTTGCAGGTTTGAGCCATGCTCAGTTTATCGATGTCGTTGTGCAAGACACTTAACCCCCCTTGCCTGCTGGTGGTGGTCGGAGGGACCGGTGGTGCCACTGCTTGGTAGCTTCGCTTCTGTCAGTGACCCCCAGGGCAGCTGTGGCTACTTTGAAGCTCATCCCCACCAGCGTGTGAATGAGTGAGTGAATGGGAAATGACTGATTGTGTTGTAAAGCACTTCAAGGGGTTCCAGGACTCTAGAAGGTGCTATACCAAATACAGGCCATTTTCCATTTACCATCATGTAGCAGACAATCCATGAATTAGGACATCATTGTGGGATGCCGCTATGTCTCAAGCAAGGAGCAAACCAGAAAAGCTTCTGCAGCTCACACTTCGACAATGGATTGTGAAAAACTGGAGGCTATTCTGGTCTACCACCCGACATCTATTGTCTTGGCTAGTAACACACTGATTCTTCCTAATGTAAGAAATGAGTCTACTCTTTTGGTAGTTTTGGTGTTTACATGGTCATAGAGCACAATATTCTGTGACTCTTAAAAAACAGTAAAAATGCTCAAAAACGCTGGCAGTCAGTGGCTTTTTGTTCATAGTGGCTGGCAGTGAATGAGTTCATATTTAACCAATCAACATACAATTTTGAGATATTTATAAACTCATTTAATGTTTATGAAAAATCCAGCTTTTAAAGTTATTTTCACATTTAAAAATCCACTGTCTTTGAGAACACAGCTGAACTTAAGAAACTTGTTTTGCTCCAAAAGCAGATCAGCTTGTTAGTGCTACAGTTGTGTTTGGTCATTTCTGTTTGATGTTGCATGAATATTGTCTTGGCTGATTAATGCAATGTGAAATCCAAAATACATTATATAAAATCCTTGTTGTGCGATTTCTCATGTGGAGAAGCCTCGCTGTGAGACACGTTCGCCTACATAACAGATGTGAATGTGTCTCACTGAGCAGAAAGCAGTAATTATGATGTGCATCACAGGCTGGGCTAACGTAACAGAAAGAAACATCTCATTACTGCCGCATGCAGAGTATCCTGATTACACTGATTATTTAGAGGTCTGAGGGGGAGAAAGGAGCCTCTGTATCACCTACAACTAGAACTTTTTCCTCTAAGAACACAGTTAGTCTGTAAACAACTTGAAGATTTCAGTCATCAGTGAATAACTATTCATTTGTTACAGAAACACTCTCTTAGCACTACACAGAGTGGCATGCTTCTCTCTGAGCACAGAGTTTGTCTTGGATTGGTACACAACACAGCTGCAGTGTAAGTGGTGTAGGTGGTCAGCATCGTGCAGCTCTTACTGGATCACTGGAGATGCCTCATATTTATGACATTTCAGGAAGCTACAGCAACAATAAATGCAGCACAAAGTTTGTACTTAAGAGACGTGTTTGCATCTTGCTGGATATGATGTATGGAAATACTGTAGCTTCTCATTTGTCTTTAAAAAAAATATTATTTTCAGCAACATCACCCCAATGTGCAAAGGAAATAGAAATGTTCTCTAATAGTGATGATACTTTTAAAACAATTAGTAAATTTAAAACTCTCTTGAAGATGGAAATGTTAAATACATATGGTATGAACACATAGTGGCAATATCTTGCTGACATCACATGAGTGAAAATTTTAATTGAATATTAATTGACTCAATTTTTTTTTAATTATTTTTGTGGCATGTATGGTTTGATTTGACTAATTGTTTTCTTTTTTTCTGATGATTTTCTGATAAATGTCAGGTTTATGAGAATGCATTATTTTAATCTAATCATCATGGGATCCTTAAATAAGCTGTTTCAGCTTCTTGGAGTCCCTTTCACAGATCTAATTTATGTAGCAGAATGATATTGTGTATATTGTGTACAGGAATGTTATGAAAATGGTCTGTGAATAAAGAATAAAGAAAGAATAAAGAAAGAATAACCTACACACATAATTTCATTTATTTTATTAGCAAATTTATTGACATGGGAAGAGCGATATTGGTTAAGAGTGAAAAATTTTGATAACGATAAATTTTCAATTTATTGCCCAGCCTTATTCCTACCTAAAATGAATCCTGAGCTAGTGCAGTCTGTAATAAAACAGTGGACATACATGAGCTTGCATGATTACATAGCTTAAGCTTTCATTTAAGAGTACTTCAGTGAAGCAATGCAGAGTTGTATGCACAATGTGCACCCTTAAATTTACACACAAGCTGATTTAATCTTTTACGTCAAATTTCATAAATGTCACAATATATTGCACCAGGTTTGAAAATTATTAATAAAGTGGGTTAAGTGACATTTATAAACCTCAGGTGTTCTGAACTTATCCACATTCTCAAATAAAATAAGAACATTGAAGGTCACCAGACCTGTGAGATGTGGTTGACAGAGCTCTCCATGCGGCGGAGCTGCGAAGCCTGGATGTCAAGCATCTGTAGCACATTGTTGGCCAGTGTGTTGATGAGGTAGGCAACACTAGCCAGAGACTGGGTGGTGTAGCTCTTTGTCTCCTCCAGTGCTTGCTGCTTGTCTGTTGACTGTGGACAGGAGAGACTAAAGTTAACACATGGTAAATGCATTGCGTATGGTGTAAATGTCTTATCTAGTTAGTTAACTGCTCAATGTCAGAATAGTCGGTGATAGACGATGCAATTTACCAGCACTTTTATTTATTTACATGGGGGGGGGGGGGGGGGGGGGGTCATGTATTGGAGTTATAGAATGGATTTCACCAATTCCAGTCCTCACAAGCATAAAGAGACCACCCAATGTCCATGTGTCTCTGCTGAAACACAATGTAGGTCAGAGCAAACTCACTCATGCCTGTAGTTGACAAGAAACACACTGACACTTAAGTGTGTTCTCTCTCTCTCTCTCTCTCTCTCTCTCTCTCTCTCTCTCTCTCTCTCTCTCTCTCTCTCACACTCTGTGTGTGTGTGTGTGTGTGTGTATGTGTGTGTGTGTGTATAACAAATAACACAGATACAACTGCATTCACACAGACGTTCTGGTGACCTAATGACCTACATTCACAGTCAGAGCCCAAATTCAAATGTTGTGAACTCTACAGAAAACATTTAATTATGGTTATAAGATAACAAACAAACCTCTGATTCATACAAATGGCAACAGTGATTTTTTCTTCCGGAGTCACTGTCATTCAACTGCTCAGCAACTCAAAGGCAACCAACATCACATACGTATGGGAGCCTAACCCCAAAATTCCACTATCTCCGCTCCGGCACGAACTCTGCAGCACAAACGGTCCCGTTGTAGTAAATCAGAGCTGTTCCACTATTGCGGCCGTGCGGCGCAGTGCGCCGCCCGCCGTTCCGCCATCCGGCAAAAATAGGATCGATTCTATTTTTGCCGGACGCCGGAGCACCTCCGCAGTCAATGGACAGGAATCACAACCGCCCAACAAGAAAGGGAGCAAGCACAACTTCCGTTATTTCACAATAAATCGATAAACAAAAAGCATTTTTTGTTTCATATGCACAGGTTTAACAACTTTTAACAACTATCAATGGCGGTTGAACTTTAAATGCACAAAAATAAGCCATAAATACAGTTTCTACTATCAAAGTAGTCACACTTTGTTAATCCAAACACTGCTGATCTCTCAACACAAATGATGGGCAGATTAAACAGTTCTTTTCGAAGCTTCTCCCACACAACGGGTGTTTGGATCTAACTTCCGCATTTATTGCTCGGACTGTATCGCAAGATCTCAAAAATCCTGCGCATGCTTGTTTGCCCACCTCAGGTCTCCGCACCGGAGCGGAGCCGTTGTAGAGCCGGTATAGTATAATTTGAGTTCGGAAGCGAGCGGCAGCGGAAAGTGGGGGCGGAGCGGAGATAGTGGAATTTTGGGGTAAGCCACACCCATCTACTTCTGGTCCACGGGTCACCAACAGCCAACAAAAATGAATGGGAGTCTATGAGTGGATACATTTATTTTCTGATCCCGTTTGAAGCGTGTTGTAGAATTAACTTATAATGTCCGTGATTTTTAAAGACACATTTTGATCCCAATAAAGCAGTTTTTTATAACAGGTGGCTAAATTTCCTTTAGGTTTTGTGTGAAAATACGAAGTGGACTCAAACTGGTTGTCTCACCAAATTTATGTCATCAAAACAGACACAGTGAGGAGGAAAATAAACCAGTTGAACCATTTCGAATTGGCCTGTCGGGTTCGGTGCACTTGCATACGGTTTTGGTTTATTTTTTTCCATTAAATAATGAATTTTTATTTGTGTGATTTAAGTGCAGCAGGTAAAAGGTCCTAGGCGAGTTTCCGCACGGATGCTGTATTGAGTGATACATGATGGGCCTGACGACACACCCAATCAAACAAATTTGACCTGCAAATTCTGATTAATGCCTTTCAGAGTGGATCAAACCAGCTGACTGTCGCTGCTATTGTGGAGCCTGTAGAGACCCTGAACAGAGCGTCGTATCGCCCCTTCCTCCCTTCTCTCACACTGTGCACGCACGCAGCGGCAAAAATGTAAACAAACACGTCTGCTGAACTTTCCCCTGGGACAATTGATGTAAAGTTTTCATCCTACAATGAAAAATACAGCGCGGAGGAAGCTTGATATTTATTACAAATTTAAAGAAGAAACTCTGGGCGGTGTGAGGTGAGTTTTTAAGGTTAGCTGCAAAAATAGAAACACGAGCATTAACAGCAGTGGCGGCTGGTGAATTGTTTTTTGGTGGGTAGTGATTTAACAGGTGTGTGGAAAAGAGCATGCCAGCAGAGAATTGTGTGACCTGTTATGGTAAGGTGCAAATGAATAATGAGTTTTTTTTAAATAAATTTGTACTATTAACATGTTTCTTATCCATTTGCTTCCTTAAATGATGGTTTATGGGCAGCTAAATAAAATAAATGACTGTTTATTTGAAAACATATATAAAAATCTTTACAAGATTTGTAATTTTGAGTCACATTCCTGGTTTTTTAAACCAACAGCAAAATAGTTGAAGCGGGCAGAAAAAAATAAATAATAAAATACTAACTGATGTGTTTAAATCAAACGTGTCAAAAATGTAAATATTTCATCATAATTTAATCATATTTCAAGTCAAAAACAAAAGGTTTTCAGGAGAAACACTGAACCGAACCGAATACGGTTTAAGCGTACCGTTACACCCCTAGTCTGAAAAACTGGTCCATACAACCAACCCGGACCGTGCCAGTCACAGGACTTTTTTGGCCCTCTTCTGTGGAGTGATATGGTTATGGCGGGGCAACAACACAAGTCTACTGATTGGGGACAGAAATATGTCACCACAGGCACCAAGGAAAACAAACCTTGGAGTTATGTTGTTTGTATTTACATTAGTTGTACACAGATGTGAGAAAATGCCAGCAAGTTTTGGTCAGCTTCAGAGCTCCATACATTCCTCACTATCAACGTGAGAGTCCACACTCAGGAGGAGCTAGATGGATTATAAAGAATGGTTTTTAAAGAAGTTTCTCAGCTAAGGATTCGAGTGGTCGGGCCAAGCTAAAGAAATGAAAGCCCAATATATGTAAGTTAAGGACAGAATCACCCAGAGTGGAAATGAGAGAAATACACAGAGGTGCTACAACGCACTGGATGCTAGGGATGTAACCGGGTAAATAGTTTTGCCCGTTAACTGCTTCTAGTCCTTCTGCTGTGCTGGGGTGTAATATATTTTGTGCTACTAGAGGGTGCAAGAGCGCGGTTATCAAAATGTTTACTGGGCAACCGCAGAAGAAGAAATGAGCTTGTCTCATGATCAAACAAATGTGCTCAAACATGAAGTGGTTAGCAAACAGCGTGAGAGTGGTTTATTCTCAGTTAATTCATTCTTGGAACACAATAAGCCTCGCAACAAAGCGCTGAGCCTGGCAGAACATGAACCGAGACCAGCAACCAGTCAGTCGGCCGTGACGCTCCTGCTTGCGTCTGACTTCTAATTTGTCTAGTAAAATAAAGAAATGCCAGTGTAATTAGTAGTTCAATGTAAGGAAACTAAAGTGTTTTTAAAAAAATGTGGCCTTCAGAAGCACACAATCTCAAACATCGCAGTGTATTTGATGCCAGACGGTCCGCTGTGCAACAAGTTCTGTGTCTGACGAACATTTCCGCTGTCATCCCACTCTCTCTTTGCTTTTGTTCATAAATGTAACGAGTGTGGGACTTAAGTTGTGCGTCACAATGATAGTAAAAGAGTAGGCGCAAAAAGCGTTAATATTTATAGAGCGGGGCAAATGTTTGTGTGCGTCTGAAAGGACTTGGTTTCCGGGAAATCGGCTATTAACCATTCCGGGACCGGTTAAAGAAATCTTGGAAAACGTGCATCCCTACGGGATGCTATTTATAGCCAAAGATCGGCAATCTGAGGCAGGCCTGGACTCAGCAACCACACTCTGGAGTCACTTGTGGAGCTTGTTGGTAAGCATTTTTTTGTGCAGACCATTTATTGCAGCACAACAGTAGAGTTGCACAACATATTTATAAAATCACACGACTGTTTGTTTAACCCTGCCTGCCGACAAAAGAGCCCAAACTACGATAGAAACAATCTCCTGAAATTGCAGACCCGGTCCTGCTGACTCCTGCCCCACCCCGTCCTGAACCCTGCAGATGGATCTCAGACTAAATATCAAATACAGGGCATTTACCATATGTGTGATTCAGGGCATAAGGCAAAGAAAACCCCGTTCCACTTACGTAGATTTTTGTTTTTGGTCAGAGGACCTAGCCGATTGTAAGGGGAGGAGATTTAGGCTCCCTATAAATAAAAAACAGACATTGGTGACAAATGTAAACCTTTAGTTTACTCCTTATTTTTTCATCTGCCAGTCTTTATGGTCTCTCTTTTTTCCATTACTTCCATTTTCACTTCTCCCTCATACAATGACACCATCTTACATCTCTTCTTCATCCCCCTCTTTTTCCCATCAGACCACTGGAAGTCTCATAAGCAGTGGCCTATTTGGAGGGCTGTCTTCTTTGGCCTATGGCGAAGGCACAGCATTGCAGAAACACACACACACAATTTTTTATTTTTTCATTTCAAACCAAGTTTACATACATGAATTATTTTTAATCTACATAGAATCAGATGTATGCTCTGATTCCTCTGACCCCGTTCTTGGAAGAAAACATCCTCTGGTTACTATGGTTATGATGCTTTAGTTCCTTGCTAAGACTTTATGCCTTCTTGTGTTTTATAATGTTACAAAAGGCAGCAAAAGACTTTTTAACAATTAAAGGTGATGATAAATGCAGCCATTGAAATTGAAAGAATGAATTGAGCAAACCCGTTCTCACGAATATTGTTGTTCTGCATCACAACTGGTCCAAAGAAGAAGAAGAAGAAGAAAATATAATTTCTATGGTGCCTCTCAAGATAAAAATCACGAGGCGCTTCACAAAAACAAAAAAATGTAAAAATATGAAAAATTATTTAGAAAATGGTTAAAAATATATTTAAAATGAGCAAAAAATAGACAAATGTGATTAAAAATGTAAAGAAAGAGAGAGTGAGTAGGAA